GGGGATCGGCACCGGGCCGCGGGAAGGGAGAGCGGGGACCGGGCTAGGACCTTGCAGGGCCGGGGGAGGGGATGGGTGGTCCCGTGGGGCTGGGCACCCCCGTGGGGCTGGGTACCAGGCGGCTGCAGGAAAGGTCTCCGGGGGTCGGGGGTGGGCGATGGGGAGACACGAGAGAGATCTCAACCAGAGAAGAAAGGTGGTTTACCCGGAGACACATGGAAGCGGGGCATGCCTGTTGTGTTGCCAAGACCCCTTGGAGGAGTGCGGCTAGCCCGCAGGGTGGTGGACCGGGGAGGCCTTTCCGGATGGGCTCTAAGGGGAGCTGTCCTGGACACAGAGGTGTAGCAATAAAGGATATTTTTATTACAGTTATCTTAGGTGCATGGGTGTGCTTTACCTGGTTTGTCTTAGAGAGAAGCGTCTCTCTCCCTGTGTGAGTGTGTGTCAGAGAAAAGCGGCCAGCGGGGGTGGCGTGGGGGGGCTCCATCCCACATAACCACGACTTGAGGGCACAGGAGAGGAAGCTTTACCTCTTTGTCTTAAAAAGCAACCACTGACTTCACATGCAGGTGAGCAGGTGGTCTGGGGTGTGCACGTGTGATGGACGCGCTGTAGGATTTCCCTTCCCGAGTGACCAAGGCTCGCGGGATCTCTGAGGCTGCGGGGCCACCCTTTCGAGAGGGGCTGACCCGGCCGGGCCCCACCTGGTCAGAGAGTTGCTCAGCGGGGCGTAGGCGTTGGGGGTCGGCGAGTGGTCGCCATTCCTTCCCAGGGCCAGGCCCCTGCCCGGGGGCTCACTTTCCCTTTTTGCCCTCTTCCAGGCTGACACTCGCCCTGTTTCTCCAACGCCCAACTGAAGCCTGGGAACTTAGACCATCTGGTAGAAAAGTAGGATTTGGAGCCGCTGTGAGCGCTTGGCCAGGGTAAGGGGTCCGGGATTACAAAATTGAAGCAGCACCGCTGCTCGTGCGTTTATGTGTTCATTCTGTGGGGTTAGCTAAACCTGTGGCAGGGGCGTCCTGCGCCTGCTCAGGCTGATGCCGCCCTCCGCCCAGCCTCTTTTACTTCCTGAGGGCAGACATAACTCCACTGGCTTCCTGGGCATCTTCCCTCCCGAGCCTGTTAGGCAAATGACTTAAAGGGAATAGGTAAACTTTAGGGGAATAAAGGGCAGTGTGAGTAGCCCTGGTAGCACAGAGAAGCTAAAGGGTTCTTCAACTCACCAAGAAGGCAGTGATTGGAACCTAACTGCTGCTCAGTCTATCTGTTACCATAGATACGGAACTTTGGAAATCCTCGGGAGAAGTTCTGTCCTGTGTGCAGACTCGGGCTGTGGGGCTGGTTTGACTTGAAGGAATGAGTTGGATGCTGGGGGCTTTGGGCCAAGGATGGCAATTGTTTTTAGGAGACTGGGACCCTCATTTCCAGGAAGCTGGTTTGCTGCGGCTTCTTGCTCCCTGCCCTTGGAAACTCTAGGTTCAGCCTTCATTTGTCCACAGTGGAGGTGGTAGTACATCATTCATAGCAGCGGTTCACCACTTGTGGTTGGAGACTCCTTTGGGGGTGGAATGATCCTTTCACAGGGGTCACCCTACTCCTAACAGTAGCAAAATTACAGTTATGATGTAGCAACAAAAATAATTTAAAAAAATTATTTTATTGGGGGCTCGTACAATTCTCATCACAATCCATACATCCATTGTGTCAAGCACATATGTACATTCGCTGCCCTCATCATTCTCAAAACATTTGCCCTCCACCTCAGCCCTTAATATCAGTTGCTCATTTTCCGCAACAAAAATAATTTTATGGTTGGGGGTCACCACAACGTGAGGAACTGTATGCAAGGGTCACGGCATTAGGAAGGTTGAGAACCACTGGTTTATAGGGTGGCAGTCAATCTGGGGTAGCCATCGCTGGGGTTGTTATTTGGACTGGGGCTAAGCAGACTGCCCTCCTTACAGAAACAAAGGTCTGGAGCACAGATTTTAATCCTGTCCCAGCAAGCACCATCACTGAACTGCTCTCGGTCCTTGCTTTTCCTCAGATCCCTTAATGGGTAAGATTTAAAAGGGAAAGTGCTGATCCTGGAGTGGTGAGCACGTGGTGTCTACCTGGACTTCTCTTTTTAGGGAGGCCAACAGGGAGGGTTGGGGATGGAGAGAGCCCGGCCAGCCCTGCCCTTCCTGCCTTCCTCTCCCTGAAGGTGTTCCAGGCCTTTCTGAGCTAGGAAGCTTTTCCAATCATCATTGTCCTTGATTTGGGAGTTGGCAGGAAGAAAAGCCTTTGTTCCCTTTTGAATGGAGATCTGCTTTTTATTTATGGGTCCGGGCCACTTTTACGGTTGGTCTGGTCTCTTTTGCTTCCCTCCCCCGCCAGCTTGGGGCCTACCCTGAAGGTGCAATGGCAGAGCTAAGTCAGATCCATTTCCTTTCCAGGTTGGGGTGGAGGCTCCGGTCCTGAGCCTGGCAGCATCAGGCGGCATAGGTATTGCCCCACCCCGTGCAAAGACCGTGGGGAGCGCAGGTTGGAAGGAGAATCTGGGAGCAGCAGGAGGATGAGGAAAAGGAGGGCAGGGGATAAGCAAGGTGGGGGGCTCCCAGAGGATGCATTCCTTCAGACCCAGAGGAGCCTGTTGCCCTTCCTTATTACACACCTCTAAGAACCAACCACCAGATCTGCAGATCTGGGTGCAGTCCCATGCCAGCAAGACATGCCCTGGTATTCTTTGTCCAAGACCTGCTCCTGGGGCACAGACTTCACCTCCTCCTGTGTGGGGCTGGGGCTGGGGGGTGGGGGTGGGGAAGAGGGGGACAGACTGCTCTGTAACCCTCCATAGGGGCAGGGCCTGAACCCTGCCTGGCGCAAACTCCTGGTGAGCGCCTTTGTTACTTTCAGCACTTCAGGGTAGATTTTCAGTTTCACGGGCCAGCACGTGGAGGTGCTTGATTTCCTTACCGGCGGGCAACTCGCCGCTTCCTTTGCAGCAGAGAGCAGAGCTCTCTTCCTCTGACAGGCGCCCTCCTCTTCTCACTGGGCCCATTTTACAGACGAGGGAGCTTCTGCTTCTTGGTGGTTGGTGCTTTGCAGAACACTTTCACTTAGGCTTTCTTGGAGGGGTTAGGGCTTGTCTTAGCTGGCCCTGTGGGTTACCGAGACAATTCTTTACAGGAGTAGAAAGCCTTTCTCCTGCCAGAGTGGCTGGTGGTTTGCAACTGCTAACCTGGTGGAGTTAAGCAGCCTAACCCACCGCTATACCTCTGGGGCTCCAGTGGCCCTCTAGAGGGGTAAAAAGAAAGCCAGCACAGGTGTTCAGATGGGGCTGACCCCACCAAGCTACAGGAACTAACCAGTTGGCCTGGTATGATTCAGACTCCTGGGGACGCCACTGGGGCAGAGTATAACTGAGCTCTCTATAGGACTTCCTGGGAATGACTTTTTTATTCGGAAGATACGGAGGCCTTTCTTAGGCACTTTGGGTTCAAAAGGTGGCCTGCGAAAGGCAGGGGGGTCTGCAATAGTTCCTGTGCTGCAGTGAGTGGGTTTCTCCTTGATCCTTGTTTCCATTTGTGAAGTGGGGAGCACATCGGCAGGCAGGGTTGCTAAAGAGGGTTCCATGTAGCTGGTTTGGCCCATCTGTCTTAAGTGCCTACAAAGAAACGGGGTGAGGTCCTCATATCAGGTCTGTTACTGTCAGGTTTTGGGCATCTGAGGCACTTAGACCAAAGCGGACCTCGGCTTTGGAATACAGTGCCTCAGTTTACATTCCTGCTTAAGAGCCAAGGGCCTTGAATTTCTGTGGCTCTATCTGTTAGCCAATTCCAGGAGAGGCCGAAGTTTCAGGGAACTGAGAGGAAACAACTTGCATATTTAAAAAAGCGTTTTATCGGGAGCGCCTACAGATCCCTTACATTCCATAGTTCAGTCACATGCAGCAGTACTGGACACTTGTCACCACCATCCATTTCAGAACATTCTCCTTGGCCTCCTTGATCCCTGTTCTCCTGACAACGTGCACATATTAAGTTTTCAATAAGCCCCAAACGACTCGCTGCCGTCATGTCACTGCTTATTCATAGGAACCTCTAGGACAGGGGAAGGCTGTTCCGGTAGGTTCCCAAGACTAACTCTTAACAGGAATAGAAAGCCCCTTCTGTCTCCTTGGGAGCAGCTGGTGGTTGGGAACTGCTGACCTCGCCGTTACGCAGCCCAGCCTGTAGCCCCACTATGTGCCCACAGGGCTTGCTAGATGTTGGCAATTGATTTACTTCCCACAATAAAATGCAATTCTGATGATCATTCTAAAGAACAAGGGTCTCTACATAGGGGATTGGGAATCTTTAAAAAGATGAGGGAGGGAGAGTGGGAGGGGGAGGGGAAAAATGAGCTGATACCAAGGGCTCAAGTTGAAAGAAAATGTTTTGAAAAGGATGATGGCGACAAATGTACAAATGTGCTTGACACGATGGATGATTAAAAACCCAAG